GCCTATTGTACCAGCCCCAGATGATAGGGGAGGGTGATTGTGGAGCAACTGGTGGAATGAAGATTGGCAGAAGAAACCGAAGTACTCGGAGAAAACCTGCCCCGGCGCCACTTTGTCCACCACAAATTCCACTTGACCAGACCCTGGATCGAACCCGGGCCGCCGCAGTGGGAAGCCAGTGACTAACCGCTTGAGCTATGGCGCGGCCACGTGTCCAGACTTACTCAGGTTCCTGCTGGATGGGTGACGGGACAATCAGGCGCTGAAGTCAAAATGGTTAGAGCTGCACATTCACGTGCCCTTGTGTGACTTTATGAACAGCGAGGTTACTGAAATTCATTGGGATTGTTGTGTGTATGTATTTGAATCTGCATTGTGTGTACTTTGTTTTGTATTGGTCGCTTTATGTAGAGTCCGATTTCGTTGAGGGTCACGCGGTAGCGTAATTGGTTGAGGCACTATGATACAAGCCGGAAGTTCGCGGGTTCGAGTCCCAGTGAGGTGGATTTTTTCAATTTACCTAATCCTTCGAGCCACACAGTGGCCCTGGGGTCGACTCAGCCTCTAACAGAAATAAGTACCAAGAATCTTCCTGGGGTTAAAGCGCGGCCGACACGTAAGGATGACAACCTTACCGCCATCTGTGAGCCGATTGTCTAGAGAAAATGTGGGAGCCTCGACGTCTCAGAACCCTATGGGCCTCCACGGCCTGTTACAGGGATAGCTTTACTTTCTTTTTACCTTTACCTAATTTCCTTGTCTGTGCCAATATAAGGTCTACAGCCTCCGGGTGGACAGCCAATTGCAGTAAATAGTAATAATAATAATAATAATAATAATAATAATAATTTCCCGTTTCGCCTTCAAATCGTAGGGACAACTTCGCTCTCCACTCCGTGTAAGTGAAGAAACTTCGTTGTATAACTCAGAATTACTGGGTGTGGACTACATCCATCGTCCGGTATTCTAAAAAAAAGACTAGAGAACACGACGTTTCGGGAACTAGGTTTGTTTCCATTCTCGGGTGAGGGGTAAGGTAGGTCCCACAGGTAAACCTCTTCAGAATCCTGTCGTCATGTGAACATCTTAGTTTGTGGATAACATTAATACGTGGTGAAGTCATTAAGTTCGTGGAATGTGGTTTTATCGCATCATATTAGAAGGCATTCACATACACTTACGCAGATCCACATCGGCCCTCAAAATAGTTGCCGTTGGCCTCTATGCAAGTCTGCCAACGTTGATATAGCTGCCGAAATCATTGCTGAAATATATTGGCAGTAAATTCCCGTACGGCACTTTGCAGCCATTCCACGAACTTATTGACTGTGGTGGTAGTTGTAAAGGGAAGCCAATGTGAAAGGAAGATTATGATCTTCTAGGATTTAAATTTACGTCCAATGCGGTAGATATCTATTAACGTTTCGGAGTAACTTTCTACTCACATCTTCAGTGTAGAAGATTTATATTTTATGGATTATTTTACAACACTCTCAGTATCTTGTAAATATAGGGTACAGTATCGAATAGTATTAACGAATGATGACATAGAAGGGATTTGGAAGGAAGTGGTTATAGCTTAATCGGGGTTATTTTCTCGGAATATGCTTCAAGTGACTTAGGTAAGTCACGATAGTTGGCGTTCTGACCAAAATTCGAACGATTGCCTATCAAATATACAAGTAGAACGTTACCACTACGCTAACCTGCTCGCTGGAAGACTTCTTGTACCCCTGGGAGACGGCAACCACGGTGAGAGTTCCCATACATCATGGCGTGAAAGGCATTTGAAGCCGGGCAACTTCTCAAATTGCGTGATGCAGGCGTACAGCAAGAACATCAGCGAAGCCTCGTCCTCTCTCCAAATGAAGTTACAAATACTTTATTAACAAAGAAATTTTAACATCCCTGGAATGACTTAACTGTGTTCGTGAGCACGAGTGCCTTTGTTAAAATAAATTGCTTGTTAAGTAAATATGAGAAATGAAGCGGCGGAGAGAACGCAAACCAGACTTGGCCTGTGAAACTCGCACCGGGGCTTGGCTGAAAGAAATTCACAGAAGACGTGCTGACACGCGAACCTGACCTCTAAATTGTGACCCGGCTCTGCGACCGAACAGAGGCGAGATCATCAGACAAGAAGTGGCTACGATTTCAGTCTTCAAGAAATTAACTTGACTTCACTTGAATAGATGTATTGATTAAAATATAGCGTGTATTAGTGTTCTTTGAAGATTATGATGGTGTGTTTACGGTAAGATACATCGTTATCAGTAGTAGCATTCTCATGAACTCAGCAATACTAGGCTTAACCCTATAAGTGCCAAGCGTCGCAATTTTCGACCGTTTTAAATATTGCTATATCTGACAGCATGTGACATCTGTTGGCATTTTGTCTTAACTATATGGTCAAGAAATATTTCAGTTAGTTTCCTTCCATGTATTTGATGTTCTTAGAGAAATTTCATGGACATATTGACCCACGAAAGAGAATAGCTTTCGCAATCCAAAGTGTCGTCTTGCCAGCATAGGAATTAAAGGATACATTTTTAGGATTGTCCGTGTTCCTAAATATTCTATGCATATTTTGTTGTATTTGCGATTCTCCCAACTGTTATTATGAAAGTGGCTGGCTTATAGAAAGGACGCAATGCAGTCTGGAAAAGTGTTGCGATATTTCGGTGGAAAATACTGTCGTCTTCTTCAGGAACTAAGAGTAAGTCGAGCTTTAATCCAGAAAGAAGCAAGCAGCAAGCGATTTGCTTGCTTCTCTTATTCTTCAAGCTTGAATACGGAGGCAGAACGTTCCTCCGAAACGTCGATAAGCTACGAGATTGAACGTCGTCAAGGAAAGTTAGTCTAACTGTAATGCTCTAGAGATATATAGGGAAGGTTCTCTGTTCGAATCCTGGCCGGAACACCATCTACACTGACCGAGAATTTTTGGAGTTTTCCTCACTCGATCCAGACAAAATGCGGGAGTGTACGTGAAGTAGGCCACGACCGCTGCTTTGCCAATCCCTTTCGATTGATCATCAATTATCTTACCATTCCTTGTCGTATAGCGTCTTAACCCTTTAAAGCCCAATGGTTAATATATGTACCACCTCCAGTTGGTTGAGGCACTATGCTACAAGCCGGAAGGTCGCGGGTTCGATTTCCGATGAGGTCGTTGGATTTTTCAATTGACGTTAACCTTCCAGCTGCACTATGACCCTGGAGTTGACTCAATCTCTAACAGAAATGAGTACCAGGAATCTTCCTGGGGGTAAAGGGCGGCCGGTTCGTAAGGCTGACAACCTTACCGCCATCTATGAGCCGATTGTCTAGAAAACGTGAGAGCCTTGACGTCTCACAACCCTACGGGTCTCCACGGCCTGTTACAGGAATAGCGTTACCTTTTACTTTACCACCTGCTTCAACATAATAAAACTCTGCATTCTGCACACACAATCCCACATATTGCGATAATGGGATTTGTGGGCTTGAAGCCGTCATAGCATTTATCCCCCCTACCCGAACATTGAAAAGCATGGAATGAATCATTAGCCTTGGGTTGCTTCTCAAGTGGAGCGCATGCTACAGAAGGGACTGAACTCACGGACCTTCAGCTTACGTGAAGGGCATACTAAGTATTCTGGGACCACCGCGCGAGTTGCCATCACTCTTAAGACAAATCTTCTGTCTCCTCTACTTAACGTGAACCCCCTAATTCGTGCATACATCCAACGTTACACTCGAGATATCTCGTGTGTATTTGCCTATACTGTACAAGGCCCTTTCTCCCACTATAATTATCGTCTGTGTACACTAAACCAAATTAATAAATCAGGTAGTAACCTTCCCATAGAACCCCAGGTCTCCTATCCTCACAAACATGGGACTCGTGGGCTCCACCAGCAATCGACTTATCGCCTAATTGAAAGGTTTTTACTTTATTGTTTGTTTGTTGCCCATATCACATAACATAATCAGCTGGGCTAAGTGAATTGGTTCCTGGTCCAGCGCGGGGGAGAGGGGTGGGGTGGAAGAGAGACGTGAATTTATTACACTCATTCCCCCTTGACCATGCACGATCTGGAACCACTGTCCGACTGGCCAACGCTTCGATTCTCTGTGCTAACATTTAAATTCATGTGAATAAAAATCCAGTGATCAACATCCTGAAATATTTTCTGACTCCGTTTGTTGATCGGGATAACATTTGATAAACCAAGTACTAAACGAGTTAGTAAGGAAGGGGGGGGGGTCCTCTGGAGTAGTTTTTGGGAGGTGCTGGATTCGGGTCTCGGTCATAGCACCGGATAATATATTCATAAAGTTCCTAATAAGTTTGGTTTTGTTGGTATATGTCAGATTATCATTGGCACAGTGGCGTCCGTAGTCTAGGGGTAACGTTCCCACCTCATGACTCAAGGTACGGAGGTCGTGGAATTTTTAAGGGCGGAAAAATTCAGGGAACAACTCCTCCGGAGGGACTTTAAGCCGTGGGTCCCGTGTCGTAGATTTACGGCACGTAAAAGATCCTCATGTCTCTAGGAGACCTCTGAGCAATATTATGTAAAAAGTTTCCCGCCCAAGTATTTTCCAATGCCTCCGATAGATGGGGGAAATATCGGGTACCTCTGCCAGTAGAGGGGCCGAACTCGCTGGCTGAACGGGGCTGATAGCAAGCACCAGTATCGGAAGGGTATGGCGACTGGTAGAATATCAAAGGGGGACGTACAATAGATCAACAACTTGTCGCGGTGCATGGGGAAACCCACCCCCTCTAATAATGAATGAATGAATGAATCATTGGCACAGTTATATTGTGCTGTAAGGAACAGTATTTTTTTTCTTTATCTAATTATTTTAATATATTTAAAATTAAGTATTATTTGGAAAGTTCGTTGAATCATTTCTTTTATGCATTTCTTCCTTTCCTCTGTTCCTTTCACACTTTTGTTTCCTTATTTCCGTGCTAAGATATCGAATTAAGTTGCATCTTTTTCTTTCAGATGGAGCAGATTCGAACAGACACCTGCCACTTATGTGAGTACATGAAAACTACTAAAGCATAAGAATGTATTTATATTAATGCACACATAGGTAATACTCATAAACCATCTATTATCTATTACTACGATACGCCGCGCCATCTGTTATCAGACTCTGCGGTCAGCTAATATGTAAGCCATCAGATCTGGCCTGCATCATTGTTCCTAGGGATTGTCCGGAACCGGCGCAGAGCGAACGTTGGGCGCTTCTTTTTGTATAGAGAGGAATGTTATAATCTCCAACAAGCAAACTGAAGTATGTTATTATTAGTTTATTATACATTATGTTAATTTTCTACCAATGTTTGTGTGCTGTGTTTTGTTTGAACGTGTTTATTTGTGTTATTTGTCTGTTGTCTTATTGTAACACCACTGCCACCGGGTGAAAACCCATTTGCAGTTAAATAATAATAATAATAATACTAATAATGATAATGATGATAATAATAATAATAATAATAGTATATCAGAGAAGGAAGCCGGTTAGATCAGAATGACATACTGTTGAGCAGAGTGGTTGCGCTGTCTGAGTGACGAAATATTTTGCCCGCTCAAACATTGGGATCGTAGTTTCGAATCTCACTCGTGATATAAATGTTCAGAAACTTTGCCCATCTTCGGAAACAAATTATCATATAACTACCAAGAGGAAAGAGAGTTGTTGGCAGACCAAGGAAGAGATGGAGCTGTCCTTTTACCTAATCCCTGAATGTAGGTGATATAATTCTGTAGTCTGGAGAACCTCTGATATGGACAGTACGCCACTGACGTTCACTTGCTGAATGACGCAACTGAGGAACAAAAGGAACTAGATAGAAACGAGTGGGAGGAGGTGATGAAATTGTGATGATGAAGAATAATATAAAAGAAGAAGAAAGCTGAAAGGATGGTCTGTGGGAGGGGGGGTTGTGTAAAACGAAACGTGGGAATGCGGATAGAAAGACGGACGCTGGGGCGGCCCGAAGAAATCCACCCCGTATCTCCTGATAGCCCAGTTTGAGCCAGATATCACGCAACAAAGGGCCCTGATTATGTTACTTTTAAAAGGTAAGAGCCGGGATAGCTCAGTCGATATAGTGACCAGCCTAAGAGATGAATGGCCTAGGAATCCAGGTTCGATTTCCAACAATGGCCATGAATTTTTTTATTCTTTCACAGCGTCGTGAATGCTCTTGGGGACCACCGGTGGCCCTTTGGGCCTGGATAGCTCAGTCAAAACAGTGACTAGGCTGCGGTTTAAGGGCTGAGAAGTCCGAGTTCGATTCGTGCCTCCACACTGGTCATGTGACCCACTCAGCCTCATTTCCGGTGGGTACTGCTATCTTTATTGGCCCGAATAGCTCAATGCAGTGAGCAGGCTGTGGCCTGAACGAATTGGGGCTCTATTCCCGCCAGAGGACGTAACTTCCTCTGTGGGCCCCACCCAGCCTCCTACCCAACGGGGACCGGGTCCTTATTACCCGTGAAGCTGACTGTTCGTCTCCGTAGGGTTAATCCATGGAGCTATGCCTGCACGCCACCATACGTATTCATGGGGATGCTTACCTCTGTTTGTAACTTACATCTCCCAACGTAAGTGCTCTTACTGACACTGCATGAAGCTTACTGAATATCTGGGTTAGTTGTGCTCTTGTATGTGCAGTGTCTCTCTTAAATAAGTGAGGAAAGAGGAGTTCGGTATCACGGAAGAGGTTAATGATAACAGACAAGTACTGAACTCTAAAGTGCCGTCCCTGACAAAGATGAGGTAACATGAGAATGGGGAAAATTACGTAATGAGGAACGTTTACTTGTACATGTCTGTGGTAGGTTTCCGTTGTTTGAAAACTTCACATAAAATTGCAGGAAAATTTTTTATCTGTTGGTGGGGAGAAGTGTTCTGTTTCAGAACGATGTATGCCGGTCGTAACACGGGAGTATTCAATAACAGACGAATTGTGTAATTCAAAGAGTGATCTGTAACAGAAGGGAAGTGACACGAGCATGGAAAAAAGAATTACGTAGTAACAAATTTGGTAATTTGTTGTAAGTTTCGAAATATTTAAGGCCGCGTTTATTAAGACTAATTCTTACTTTCCGTTTCCCAGAATTCGTATAACATCCCGTTAACAGAGAACTATGAGTCATTAGTATTGTTTTCTTTGATGTGACCCCGTGTAGACCGATAGAAATTCACTGACGTTTCGGAGGAACATACTGTCTACGTCTTTGCTCTCCATCTTCTTGCTGGCTAAATGCTTGGATCTTTTTTCAACTCTGAAGATGGAGGCAGTAAATCCCTCTGAGGCGGCGGAAAAGACCCGAGTATACGAGTCACACCCTGGAAGACATTAATCTGCATAGTTACCGCTGTGAGAACCTACGTCAGGTACGCTCCAATTCCCACAGCCGAGGGCAAGACACTGTTATGGTGCGGTGTGTACGAGTAGATGTACTGATGTGCGAGGGTGGAGTCTGGGAGCCTGTGCTGCCATCTGAAAGCAGCAGACCCCGAACCAGTCGATCTCACCACCAATTGCCACGCTTTAGATTGTATCGATATATCGCGTGACACTTCCACCAACGTGTTGCGCGCGTACCCCTGAGGGGAGAGTGTTTACGAGTTATGGAATGTACAGAGATTCAACCTGTAAGAAAGGGAGGGACGGAAAATGTAGCACTCAAACAAACAAAGAAAAACCTCCATGGCCTATAGTCCGCAAGCGAACTATACCGACCGAGCGACCGGCATTTGTCGGCAAAGTTAGTGCCTATTTTTGCGGATAGAGTGTGTCACGTGGTCCGCGAAACGGATCCCCACGGCCGTTGATCTTGGTTTTCTAGACCGAAATGTAACACTCACGGACACACTACATGTAAAAATATTTGTGCTAGAAACTGAAGAGACGGGATAACGTGCGCAATCTAGGTTCTAGATAATGCAAATACCCCTCCTGTGACCTAGGAGAAGGTGTAGGTGAAACGCGATAGAGAAAATCTCTTGACCCTGCAGGAAATCAAACCCCAGTTCCTCCGTCGCGTATTTGAATAAATATATTGTTTTATCACATATTTCAGATCATTTTATTGAGATTTTACGGTGTCGCTCCCATCTCAGAGATTAGCACGGCCATTTTTGTATGAATATTTAATGGCGTGGGGTGTCATAATGTTCAAACGAAATTTAATTAAATTTCATAAATGTCTTGAATATTTTCACAGGGACTGCATACACATAAAAATGGTATTGTATGCCAGTATTAGTATAAAATAAGGAACTATGGTTAGAATATTAGTCACGACCACTTCCAAAACACAACTTCCAGTTACCGTCTATGATGGGTCGCGCCATAGCTCAAGCGGTTAGTCGCTGGCTTCCCATCGCGGCGGCCCGGATTCGATCCCGGGTCTAGTCAAGTGGGATTTGTGGTGGACAAAGTGGCGCTGAGGCAGGTTTTCCCCAAGTACTTCGGTTTCCCATGCCAATCTTGATTCCACCAAGTGCTCCACAATCATCCTCACCTATCATCTGGGGTTGGTACAATAGGCAAGAAGTGGCCGCAGTACAGGGGACTTAGTCCCACCTCACTAGCAATAAAAAAAAACGCCTATAATCATCGGAACGCATAGCATGCAGCACTACGAAATCGCAGTAGCTGGTTCAGCTTATTCAATTAAACTGAACGTACCGTTCTTTATAGTTCTATGTCTTGCGAAGTACTCTGTTACAGGACTTGATTTGTTGCCCGGATTTCACCTAGATAAGTTTTTGCCTGTCTAACGAATTAACTCAGTGGATCTGAATTCTTGAGAAGCTGCCAATCGCTCAGCTATTCAAGAACTTTCCAGAATTTTATGGATCCTGGAGGCTCATCACCGTATTCCCAAGAGCCTCCAACTGGTCCTTATTCTCAGACCGATGAATCCAGTTCATATCATCCCAACATATTTCTGTACGATCCATTTCAGTATTACCTTCCCACGTAGGTCTAGATCTTCATAGTAGTCTCTTTCTGTCTGGCTTTTCTACCAAAATGTTATATGCACTTATCATCCATGCGCGCTACACTCCCTGCTCAGCTTTTCCTCCTTGACGTTATTCTAATTATATTTGACGAATGGTGCAATTTATAATGCAATTTTCACCACCTTTCTACAATTTCATCTCTCTTCGGTCGAAATGTTCTCTCCAGGACCACGAGCTCAAACACAGTACCTTCATAATATTATGTGTATAAGTGACAATACCTCCAGTCTAGGGTTTATGTCGACGCATAAATCGGAAAAATGATTGTAGTGGCGTTGATGGCAAGGGAACTTAATTGTGATGAATTTAAGTCGCGAGGGCTGCATGAGGAGAGCAGAATAGCAACTTTGGAACCATCTCAGCATTTGCATGAAGACAGAGTAATTATACGGAATGAGAGCAAGAGAATATGCTCAGCTAGAAAATGATGCAAAACCGAAAATCTGTCAGGTTTTCAAAAGATGGAGCATGACGTTCAGTTGTGAATGTAATCAAGATCCAAATAGATGGATATTTAAAAACTCAGTTCGTATCTCACAGGAAACACATTACGTCTCCGCTACAGAGCCCAACCGGTTAATGCAGAAAACTTAGTCCGTACCTCATGGGAAACACATTACGTCTCCTTTACAAAACCCAACCGGTTAATGCTGTTTAGGGAAACTGTCGCTGTTTATTATGAGAACCATACGGAACACACAAATAAACTCTGTGGGCAGAAAACTCAGTCCGTACCTCCCAGGAAACACATTACGTCTCCGCTACAAAGCCCAACCGGTTAATGCTGTTTAGGGAAACAGTTGCTGTTTATTGTTAGAACCATATGGAACACAGAAATACACTATATTGGCGTAAAAGTCAGTTCGTGCCTCACAGGAAACACATTACGTCTCCCCTACAAATCCTAACCGGTTAATGCTGTTTAGGGAAACAGTTGCTGTTTATTGTTAGAACCATATGGAACACAGAAATACACTATATTGGCGTAA